AATAATTTATTTTTAGTTTAATAATATAACATTTTATAAAAATAATAATTAAGTATTATGTTATAACTCAATGGTTATCATAATTATATTTTAAATTTTTTATATTTAAAATAAGATGTTTATCATGTATTTGATAAAGTTTATCTGCAGTTAGTTACACGAATTCAGATATTGAGCTTTAATAAATTGTACTTACGTACAATCTACTTGTAATCTTGAGTATTAAGTAACATGCATTAATAAACAGTACTTTATGCGTAAAAAGTGGGTTTTAAGAGTTTTTGTCAAATGTTTTATAATATTGTGTGTGTGTGTATATATATATAAAATTGAGAAAAGTCCAAAAAAACTTAACATAATTTCTCATTTTGAATGGTAAAATCCATAAACTATTTTTTTTTTGAATGAAAAAACCATTAAATTTTCACATTTTGAATGATTAAATCACTGAACTATTTTATTGAATGAAAAAACCATTAAACTTTTACATTTTGAATGATTAAGACTTTGATCTTTTTAAAAAATAAATAAACCATTAAACTGTTACTAATAGGTTAATGTAATTTTTTTGGGTTGAAAGAATGTAGATAACCAATTTTTAAAAATGCTATGGGTTATTTATTAAAAAAAGTTCAAGCATTTAATCAATCAAAATGAGAAAGTTTAATCGTTTTATCATTTAAAAAAATTAATTCAGAGACTTAATCATTTAAAATAAAAAAGTTTAATGATTTTTTATTAAAAAATAAATTTTAAAAACTAAACCATTTAAAATGAAAAAGTTTATTAGGTTTTTTTATAATTTTTTCTCAAAAATAGCTTGTTTTTAAAGAACATTCGGTATGCTTTATATTTAGTTAAATGTTGTTAAGGAGCTGTTTACCAAACGCTTACTAGAGTAAGTGAACACCAAATCATATTACCTTACCGGATGAATATGGTAAGAATCAATAATCTTACCCGGTTAGAGCGAAACAAAAACCAAGAGTCTTACCCGGTAAGTGAGGGCGACGACTCTTACCATGGTAAGCGTTTACCGGATAAATTGTTGCATAAGATACCGTTTTGGTGGATTAAAATCTTATCCGGTAAGTAAATCGTAGTGTTAAATTTTACCGATAAACGCTTACCGGGTAAGTGTTTGGTAAACGGCCCCTAAGTTTCTTAATGAGTATTTGTAACAACCCACATATTCCATGTACAGATAATCCACATCATCATACTTATAATACAAAATGTAACATCGTTTACAAAATACATATTTAAGAAAAACTTTCTATAAATACATTTATGAATAACTAAATGTTATTCATTCTAAACTTTTCCCTTGCCCTTATCTTGCGAGGTATGATGACCTGCAAAACAGGTTAGTCCAACAACTGAGCGTTAGACCAAAAAGGTATAGTGAGTGTATAAATCTCAAACAAACAACATACTTTCCAAACAA